AACGAGCGAAGAAAATTATACTCTTTACCGTTTATCTGGTTAATATGATGGCCGTGTTATATTTCAGATGTTGATCACAGGTGGTCTGGGAATCGCTGGCACACGCAAAGAACCAAGTACTTCACGAAATGCTTTTGTAAGTGAAACTTTGGAAGACGAAAGTCGTTTTTATTACTTTTGTATTTATTTGTATTTTTTTTCAAATTAGTTCTTATTTCGCACATTAATTTTTTGTTCCCAATTTAGTATGGGAATTTCCCAAGCTACAAGGCTACAAGGCATTGACACTTAAATAAAGTTTCCATCCATGCATCTATCTACTCGAAAAGTGACTATTTTAAATGAAAAGGAATTGGATCTACTACGCCATGAAGATGACCACAACTTCTTCGCCAGTGATTTAGCATTTATGTGTTACCAATATTGTTACATAAGTTGATAAAGACTTGTTTTACCGATGCGTCCAAGTATAACTGTTAGAAACGGCTGGAAATAGTTGTCAGCCACGTTAACAACTTTAATTAAATGTGAAAATGTTTAATTTCTGAAACATCATGATTGAAAAAATAACGACCGAAGTAAGATTTTTTACTTTTCCTAAAACTAGCTTAATTGGGGAAATTTTGACGTTAGAGTGTTTTGGTCATAAACTTTTAGGTTTTGAGAGCTTCCGTTTAGGACGCAATACTGTTTTTTTTCGCCTACTGAATGCTGATTGGTCAATTTATATTTAAGAGGCACCGGCCGTATGCAAGGAAGGAAAACTGTTCCAAGAAGACATTTAACAGCTGTTGCTGCTCGATAGTAAAACTTTTATACAATTACTAACCTTGGCATCCGCTTACCGATCGATAACTATTCACTAAATAAGATGATCATTTTCAACTGAGGTTTGCACTCAGTGATCTTGTTTAAATTCCAGGCTGGTGTGTTTATGGGCTTCTCTATCACATCTACTGTGCTTGGTGGCATAATTATCATCTGCTACGGCATATCCAGTACTTTCTATGGCCCCAGACGTGCAAGGGCTATCATTGTAATCATTTTGATTCTCGGCATCATTGAGTTTGTCATTGGCCTCTGGGCTGCCGTGAGCCTCTGTCTGATGAAACCTTGTACATGTTGCTACGATACTGCACCACAACCGGTGAGTCATCCGAGAGAGAGGGTGGTGGATTTTACGGCTATAACACTTAATACTGGGCCTTTTTTTGGCTAACGGTTACATACTTCCCATACGGTTAAGTGAAATCTTAGAAACCATTATTTTAAACGTTAAAATTGATTATCATCGTTTCTAAAATTGAAAAGTATATTTTGATTTCTGAAAACATATTTAAGGTGATCAGAACACTTTCCAACACTTAAATTTTGATGGGTCATTATAACCACTCTTTATCACTTGATACTACAACGATGGTATGAAAAAAAAGCCCAATCATTGGTGAACACGTTGTTATCATTTTCGTGACACAATAGGTTATCATAGAGACACTATGACCTCCTAAAAACACCCTTAATTACAGCTTTAGGGGCTTCTAATTCAAAAACGGCATGGTGAAACTTTTTTATATTATCAACTTTTGGTAAGCAAATTTTGGCAAACTTTAAAAAAATTCTGTAGGTAGGGTTCAGACCCACCTTAAATTTTCCAAAATTTAAGGTGGCTCTGAACCCCTGGAAACTGTTTCGAGCCACCTTAGGTCTAACTTAGTTCATTGCACAATGGAAAAAAGGCATTGTTATAAGAATTGTAGAGTAACAGGGCTCCAATACTACTATAGTATGACAAGACTCACAAAATTTCTCGACGAGAGATCTTAAGAC